GCATTTTGACAAAATTTATCAATATCTCGAAAATTATCAATCATCGTAATTAATAAATTATAAACTGTTCAGTTTTTATAGCTAAGGATTGAAAATTTAAAACAAAGATTCTCATAACTAGGTCTATACTGTAGCCTAAAAAACAAAAATCTAAAAATATATGACCACAGTTATTTTTTACAGACATTTTAAGTTCAAATTTGGGACGAAATTACATAATCAAAAACCTAGCATACCTATTTTAGTTATTTTGTTGTGAGTGTATAATCTATTCGTGGGTACTTGCAACTTCTCTAAAGTACACTATATTATATATCAATGATAGTATCAGGGTTGTTATTGATGTATAACGTGTTATAAGTACCTAATGGATATTGTGATATGATTAATTTGGAATTTATTATAGGTCAATTTTTTTTTAATACCATAGATATGTATATAATATGTCTTAAACCTAGACTGACATACCGTCTTCGCTCAGAATCGTTTTTCTTATACAATGATATTGTATCATTGGATTCAAATTTAATACCATCCATTATACAGTGACCCACTTGTAACCTACTGTACAGCAGAGCGACATCCACTTACCCACCTTTTTTTATTTTGTTTTTATGAATCATTTAAATACTAATTCAGAATCGTGGAAACAATAGGTACAGTGAAACGTCCATATTACGAAGTGTCATAAGGGGTACAAAAACAATTTGTATTACAGAGAATTTTGTTAAATAGAATTGAATAAATTTGGTTCTTAAAAAATATTTCGTTGAACGGAAAATGTTGTTAAATGGAAGTTCGTTATTTGAAGAATTTCAAAGCTTCTGTAGAAAATGGAATTTCCCAGGAAATGTTAAAGAACACGGGAAACCTACTAAGTGTGTATTTGCAGTTGATAAAATATATTTGGGAAAAAGAGGTAATACCCTAAGATGGGAAAACGTCAATTATGGATAACTAATGTGCAATAATTACAGAGCCATAGTGGTAATCATTACTCTTCAATGACAACTGCAAAATATTGTCAAATTGCATGTTAGATAGACTCAGGTCTCAGGCCAAGGGTCAAGGATTATTGGGTGACTACCAGACATGCTTTCGACGAATAAACGTAAATTGTCATACTAGTGTCAGACTAATTTTACAAAAGATTTGGGAATACAATAAAGAAATTATAAATGTCATTTATTAATTATTTTAAAAGAGCATACCTACGACTGCATCCATCTTGAATCTTTATTGTGTATAGGTACTTGAGCAATTTTATCTCCTTCTAAAATTAGTCCACTTCATAACAGCAAGCATTATGCATACGTAAATAAAGGTACCGGTAAGAAATTCCTTATCAGGGGACAATGAGATTAATACAAAGGGATGCTTTATAGTCGATTTTACATAACTTTGGTTAGCTGTAGCATTGAATAAGGAGGAATACAATTGGACTAGATAAAGTTTAGACTTCTTGCATACGTAGAATTATTGTTATTAATGGAAAATAAAGAAGTGTCATTGAACAACCAACAAATAATAAAGGAAATAAAATAGGTTGAATGGAAATAAATGTGAAAAGATGGTACTTACATATAGATAGTAATATTTCTATATAGGAGATTCTATATATTTTTGCAAACTAACATCAACATAATTTCATTAACATAATTTAAGTTATAACATTAAAACTAATCCAACCCATTTAGCTAGAAATCAATATATTGTAGTAGAAGATATTTAATCGATTCTACTCTTTCAATATTTAGATATGTACAATATTACTATAATTATTTTTCAGTCAAGAGTACTATGCATAGATATTGTCAGAAGACGTACACACTCATTTGGAAACGGGTGCATATAAATTTAATAGAGTGAAGGAGTTCAAGTACTTACCTAAGTACAATTATAATTTATAACTCAGAGCCTTAATGTAAAACTGTATATACATATAACTCTTATTTGGCCTGGGATGATGTATGGATGGGAAACATGGATGCTTCACGAGGTACAACAGAATAACCTTTTAAAGAAAAATCGTAGGACGATTTTTGACGAGTAGGTAGATGAAATACAGAGAGTGGAGAGTTAGAATAATGAGGAGATTAAGGAATTTTATCTAAACCCAATATAGTATAGGTGTATCGTGTATGAAATAAAAAAGAGGCATCTCCTTTAGGCTGGATCCGCGTGGTAAAAAGTATGTTTTATCGTATACACATTACCCATGGTACAATGTGGTACACCAAAAGGAGACTATGAATACTAATATATTAGTATAGGATGACCTACGTTAAGTTGAACTGGATATGGATTAGCGAATCTTAGCTACGGATAGGGAAAGACAGTGTGATCATAATCGCTTTTATGATTATATATTGTATTCATACTAATAATTATTCATTAATAATTTTGATTTCCGGTGCTTTGACGCAGCTCCTTGCGCCAACTCTTTCGATGCCCTTGAGAGCCGCGACCCACAGTTTGAATACCTCTGGTCTAGACTCTTAAAACGAAAATTACAAAGAAAGAAGAAGTATGTTACTAGTTACTACATTATAGTTATCGATAGATATCTTATTATTGGGGGGCGGAGTGGGCGAGCGGACTAAGCCGTCGGTTGTGACGCATGCCGACGCTGGTTCGATACCTTGGCCATGGGCGGAATTTTTCTTCGGGCAAGTCACGGTGTCCGGAGAACAAGTGCCGCCATCCCCCAACCGGCATGGCAGATACCTACAGGTGCCCAAATCGAAAGTTCTGCCAAAACAAACACACACGTGTTCCCCCTACCAACAAAAATCTACAAAAAAAAAAAAAGATATCTTATTTATTTAAAAATTAATTTATTATAAAAAGTTAAAAGGGAAGTATATTAGTTTATATTATTAAGAACAGTTTATGCTATATAGATTTTTTTTTATTGATCTTTATAGCCCGGCGACTATGGCCATTAGCTGATTGTGGGGTTTTATGATTGTATGTAATAGGGTTTGTAATGGTAGGGTTCTTACACGTGTGTGTTGTGTTTGGCAGAATTTTTGATTGGGCCCCCGTAAGTATCTGCCATGCCCGGGTGGGGGATGGTGGCACTTATTCTCCTGACACCGTGACTTGTCCGAAGAAAAATGCCGTGGCCAAGGAATCGAACTCGGGTCGGCTGCGTCGCATCCGACGCCTTAGTCCACTTGGCCACTCCGTCCCCCTTATATAGATTTATAAGTTATAAAATTAAAATTAAAATAAACATAATCATTAATACCCATATTAGCGTAACTTAAATAGTTTCTTAAATGTTTGGGGGGAAGTATAAGCATTTAGTTGAAGGTTGAATCATGCTTAATTTTGATAATAGATATAAATGGCATGCTCCTCCCACACAGACACTCGATCAAGTATCCGTCCGAGGGTAGTGGCGTTGTGCATAACAGAATATTCTTGAGGAATCATAACTAATATTATTTAAATTAATAGGGTGTAATAAAATATATTATATAAACCTATACCTACCTAATTTATTATTACAGATAAATAAATGCACAGACTGTATATCCTATTATAGTAAAAAACTCTTCGGGCCATATTCATAGTCGATGCTTAAGAATAAGTACCTATTGCTTATAAGCTATACTTATGACCCAAATGAGGTTCATAAACGAGACTTTGGCTAAATAAAAGAAAAAGTATTACTTAAATTGAGGTTGGTCGAGACCTACCGGCTACCTATTAAGCATTGCTTTTAGTTATTATCACAGATTTTTTTTTTAACTATAAAAATTAGTTTAAGCAATACTTATTCTCAAGCATTGACTATAAATAAGGCCCGGGTCTTTCTATTTTCCAGTGTGTATATATTATAGCGTAAGTATATCGTGCGCACACCAGCACTTCGTCGCGTTTTTAGCGCATAAATAGTCCCAAGCCTCGAAAAAAAAAATAATAAAATATATTACGACACACACACACACAAGCCACAAGCGTATAATATTATCATCATTATAATATGAACTCGGTCGAGCCGGCCAGCCGCGTCGCCGCCGCCACCGCCGTCACGGGACCGATCGATAACGCGCCGCCACGGCCAGCGAATACAATTCAATACTCGCGTATTATGTGAGGCCTATACTCTCACGTATTACGGACGATCACCGCGATCGGGACGCGATACTTTCGATCGAGAGTGTCACGCCGTGTATAACACGATCTCCGTAAAATACCCTATGGATCGTTTTTCAAATAATATCGATGAACATTAATTGTCCGTCGCGCCCGCAAACCGCGTTTTGGATTATGATTTTTTTCTATTTTCCATTAGAACGACGACGGTGATATTATCATCACTGTATTGTACCCATAATGTTATAGATCCGACGACGAGAAATATCATATTAGTGTAATAATATAATACGACCACCGGCGATAAAGGTGGCGGGTCGGGTAAGGGTTGGCTCGGTCGTACGCCGAGAGTTCGCGCGGCGGGCGCAAGCGCGAAAGGTCCGTCGTCGAGTGGCGGTACAGTCGTCGGTAGCGCTGTATATAGGTTTTACGCGTATAGCACTATAGCGCGCGGGCTGTTGTGCGATCGCGCGATTCACGGCCTACAAGGGCACACGGGTACGGTGGAGGAGAAGGAGGACCGCGATTCGGCAAAATAGATTGGCACCGAAAACGGGAACAGGAGGATAATATTATTGTACCAGAAAAATCAAAGTTAATACGGACAGCGCTGTTCGACCGCGTCCGCATAGGTATATACGCGATAAAACAACAACAACAACAACAACAATAATAATAATAGTATTTATCATCCCCCAAAGCGCTCATTCCACGTAGTATATTATTGTATGATAACTATATAGTGGCACTACATAACAATAACCAATAAGTAATAACAACATCATACACGTTATGTGTGCGTGACGATCACATAACGACAGGACAACGGATATCGTACAGCATAGATCGCTGGATTGCTGGATCGCTGGATCGTCGTCATCGCCGTCGTCGAGATGCAACCTCCTCCCAGGAAGGTAAGACACAATCTTATAATATAATAATATTACGATAGTTGACTAATGACTTGTAACCATTACGAAATAAAAAACGAAAAAAGAACAAAAAATACCTAAAGTTCGGCCCGTTTGGTGCGGCCAAAAAAAATGAATCATTCAATTTCTCCTTCCGACTTTTCTATACCTACTACGTAATAATAATATTATTGTTGTAAGTTGGTACATAGGTACTGTATAGTAGGTATCTATGTCGAATAGTAGGCATTCACGAGTTCGGTTTCGGTTTTTATGGGTTCCTTTCGTTCCAACCGGTTTTGTCTGACGATTTTACGATATTCAAACAATTATTTAATAATTTCGATTTACACTTCCCCACTTCCGGCGCAACAAAATTTGATGGTGGCGACGTCGCGTATTCCCGTCGTGTTGGAGTAATCTAACCTAACCTGGTTCAACAATGTCGTCCGGTAAATGATAAATAAAAATAAAAATATAGAAGCTACACCTGTGTTAACCCCGACCGTGGTCGATAACGCAATCTGTCAATCACGGCGCTTTCGTCTTCACTCGTCGATAAAGTAAAAGTGCGTTTAGTCCAATAACGCCAGCTATAATAGCTACGCCTACAATCGACACAGTTCATCATGTATAGGAGGATTCCACAAGCTCACCACTATTTTTTACTCTTGATATTGAATTTATTCAATTTTGTGAGTCTTGGAAGTTTTACTATGCTCAAGGAACATCATTTGGAGTGTCCCCTCCTTAAAAAAACTTGTTTTTTCCATGTTTAATATTTTAGTATATTGTGAAGCATATGACTTATTAGTGCTTATATCATGCTTTATGTATAAAATATATATATATTTTTTCATCGAACAATTAGTTATTGAATTATAAAGTACTGAAAGTTAGTAGTAAGTTATAATAGGTTAGGAAGATATGAGGATTACAGTGGGGTACTAATAATGGTTGACCCCAGTGGGGAATAATCCTTCATACACCGAAATGTTGGAAATTTTTTTTAGAAATGTATTAGTGTTAGTTCAGTTAAGGTCACTTAATTTACTTATTTTAACCAGTGGGGAGGTACCTAATTCTCCAAAAATGTTGGTCTAAGTACGCCACTAGGAGTTATAATTGAAAATCATAGTCATTACCTATATCATTATCTTTATTTCATGCCATATACAATTTAATAATTCAGAGACCAATTTGTTTATAACAATATTTATAGTTGGTGCTCGTTTTAAATATCAGTTTATATCGCCACAGAATTTCTATTTCTTAACTGGTCTAAAAATCTAAATATTTAATACGGCTATCTTTAACTACCTATTCTAAAATTCAGAATTTGAATAAATGCATTATTAATGGGTAAAGGTGGCTTAAATGTTTTGTGAACCCCTCTATAGTATATAACATCATATAGGACATAGGCTGCACACGTGCCGACGTATTATTCAATCAGAATCGGGATTAAGGTCTTTGTAGGGATAAAAAAAACAGTCTCCATCAATTAACATTTATAATATTGATTACGCTCTTGTTAAATTTTGTGTTCATCAAACAGGATCATAGTCGTGAACTTTAATCATGATAACCATTCAAATTTTAAACTGGTCTCTTATATTATTTTTTGATTTTCTCGAAGAATGTATAACTCGCTGTAATCATCACAACACATATTTATACAACAATCCGATATTACTGCATTACTATTAGATATTGTGGAAATAATAATTTCAAACCTATAATATACACCTACTTTTTTTACTGAAAATAGAATATATTTTATTATTTACAATGTGTTATTATTTTCATATAATAATGTATACAAGTTTGTTGAAAATAAATCCAAGACATGAAGGATTGAATGAAATGTCCACGGACACCATAGGTATACACTATACAGGTATACTTAAAAGATGATTCATTATTATTAAATATTTTGTATGAAATTGAAATGTTTAAAAAAACATAGGTCTCTATGGTGCTGTTATGTATAGATGAATATGAAATTGTGAATTGTATAATATTGTATTATTCATTTCAGTTAATACATTTAATAAATATTAATGCTGCGTTAGCATGAATTTTATTGATTTCGCACTTTCAACACACATAAACTCGTACATATGAAATAATGGGTGTATATATTCTAGACTTGTAACAATTAATATAACTATTAATATTATATATACAAAATAACTGCTTCCGACAACTTACCGTTCAACATTTTAATTTGCTATAATTTATAACTAATATTTAGAAAAACAGATTATTGTTTTTATATTTATATACGACGAGAATTTTGTTCAGTGATAGTTTCTGTTTAATGTTTAGAGTTTTAATACTTATGAAAAAATTGATGTTGAAAATAATTTACATTACACAGTTATAATTAGTTAGATGAGTAGGTAAACTGGTAATGAATTATCCGAACAATTAGTTTTGAAAATAGTTCAAATTACACAATGTTATCTGATACTGCTTTATTAGAAAGCGGTGATCGTAAATAGATAGGTACAAAACAAATTAAATGGTTCAAATAACATACCTACCACTACTATTTATAATTTATTTTTGATTACCTATACATTTTTACTATACTTTAAGTGGGTGGAAACAAAATTCGTTGATTAAAATACCTACTGATTTTACTCTTGATCTAGTTGTGACCACAGTATATTTGAAAAATAATTGTGAATCATGGTTCTTATTGAAAAATCGTATAATAACATCAGTATTTTATAATTATACAAATTTGTCTAAGAAAATAACGTAGAACAGTAAAAAAAAAAAGCGGGTAAGTGGGCTCTGCCGTACAGCATATAGGTTACAAGTTGGTCACTAACTGTAGTCTGTAATGGATGGTGTTAACTTTTAATTCAATGATATAATAATTCATTGTATGCGAAAAACGATTCTGAACGGAGACTGTTTTTCAGACTATGATATTTTATATAATATTTATATTGTTATTATTAATACGGTAGCCTGTAAGTTGAATTGATATTATTTGCATATTATTACCTACATTTCAATATTTGTGTATACTAATATATTTGAGAAATTTCAAGCATCCACGAATAATATTTTTAAATTACAATAACATTACTAAAATTGTCCAAATTTGAACATAAAATAACTATGAAAAAAAATGTGTTATATATTTTTTATATTTTTTGGAATACCTACTTATGTGGAACCTTGTTTTAAATTTTCAATCCTTAGTTATAAAAGTTGAACATTTCATACATTTTTAAGTATAAAATCTTTTTAAAATTTAAAATTTGATACATTCTGTCAAAATTCGAACTTTAAATGCTTATAAAAAAAAATTGTGACTTTATTTTTAATATTTTTCAACTGTTATTGTAACAATATATTAAGAAACTCGTATTATATTTTCAAGCTTTTTGGCCCAACGAATATTCATAGAATAAAAAAAAAAACAATAAAAAATTGGAAACTGAAAATGTCGGAAACAGCTCAAAACAAGTTAAAATACCAATTTTATAGTGTATAGAAAATGCTAATATAAACATACAGTAAACATTTAATGTATCTACTGTCATTTGTTTTAGAGTTACACCAAAAACTAAAATAGATTTTATCCAACATTTTGCCTAAATATTTCCGTTTTCCTAAATCTTAGATTCTGAGCGGAGCGATGTATGTATTGATATTACAATGATGTGTATTTTTAAATTTTTTATTTTATTTTTTTGTGTCTGTCATCACCTTTTAGAGTAGTATAAATGCTTAGATTATCTTCAACAGTATCTGTTTTGATAGGAAAGTTAATCTAGTTGGTACTTTGGGCGGTCAAATGTTAAAGTGCAGGGAAAACTTAAGGAAAAATGGGATTATACAAAAGATTTGGTTTTTGGTATAACCGTGAAACACGAATTAAGATATAGGTATACTGGATACGGAACGCAGTGCCTTATCAACTCATATTTCGTGAAAATAACTTCTTACGTTACGGCTAGACCGCTAACACTTTATAGGATTGTTCTAAGTTAAACGGGAGAATAATGAACTATTATAGTTCTTTATTCCCCCGCGGTTACACAACAATCCTATAAAGAGCTGTGTATCATGCCACATAGTCTAAGAAGGTTTGACTATCAACTGATAAGCGCCCGTTCCGTATCCAGTATAATATCTTAATTCGTGCTCTAACAAATGGACCGTAGATACATACAATTTTCACTGGTTGTTTATGTTATCATATTCTATACAACATAAAGTTTTTGATTTGTTTAGAATTGTTTACTGACATTTTCAGTTTTCAATTTTTTTAGTTTTTTTTTCTACGAATGTCAATAAAATTGTATTTGCTGGGTAAATAAGCTTGAAAATTTAATACAATGCTCTTAATATAATTTTACACTGACATTTGAAAAATGTTAAAAATCCTAAGTCACAATTTTTTTATATAAGCATTTAAAGTTCAAATTTTGACAAAAGGCGTAAAAATCACGATAATGTGCAAATTATTTTGAATTAGAAATTCCTAAAATTTTTTATTTTTGAATCTAAAATTTTAAAATGTGATACAAGATTCCTTATAAAGTTAACTACCTTTATCAAAAAAATGTCTATAAGAAGGTCAAATTAAGTTTTTATGAGCGTTTGAAGTTCAAATGTTTATAATATTCACTCGATTTCACATGCAGTGGTTTTCTTATTTTGTTGTAATTCAAAAACGAATAACCGAGACAATTGAGATTTATATCATATGTTTATTTTAACAATTCCTATACTTTATAAAATTTTCAAAGTATTTTGACTTGTTTTGAGCTATTTACGGACAATTTCAAATTTAAATTTTTTTAGTTTTTTTTTCTATAAATATCAATAAATTTGTATTTGTTGGTCCAAAAAGCGTCAAAATTTAATACAAGGCTTCTGATAGGTATATATTGATTAAATAGCATTAAAATAATAACAATAAAATAAAGATTTTATATACGAAACAATATAAATATAAACAAAATTAGTGACTTCAATTTTCAAAAATCAGTCTGCACCAAATACAGTTATAAGAAGTGTTCACATAATTTAATTAATAAACTTAAAATAATTTATTATTTTGTATTTTACAGATTTCAAATAATTATATTTTATGATTAAAACGCATAAAGATTTTGTGGTTTTTTTGTAAATAATGTCTGTATGATGTTTTGTATTTAATTGCTGTGTTTTAATTTTGTTTAAGGGAAATTATGTTAAGTTTTTAAAAAATCTTCATTCGGAACAAATAGCAAAATTACTTTTAAAAAACCAAAACGAATGTGATTTGTTGGAGGACATAAGGTAAATAATTTTAGTGTCTATTATTAAGTATAGTTTAGTATACAAATTTAATAAATAATCAAGAAATAATCATTGTTTTAACTTGCAGTGTTTTTTATATAATTAGTATAGAATAAATTATAGATTGTGTTTGTTCAATACCTATATTGTTGCTTTGATATAAACTTATTTGTATATTTTATTCGTGTACCGGTAGTACTCGATTATGTAAATATGTAAATTTTATACTTTTTCAAAAGTTCAAATTTATTTTATTAAATGAGCAATCTTCACACCAATTTTATTTATTGAATTATTGAAACATCAGAGTATAGCTTCAGACCGGCGTAAGACATAAGAACCAAAATGAGATAAGTACAAGTAAAAATCGTATCGTTCAAAAGGGCCAAAATTCTAGATACCTGGGTGCTACGGCTAACAGATATTAAATAACAGATATCAAATTAAGAACTAAGTATATATTATATTTCAAAAAATGTATTATTGACAGTTATTATAAGATTGAAAAATGCAACTGATTTATTAAATTTTTTTTTTCATAGGCAATTTTTATTTTCTATTTTATTTATTGACAATTTTTAAAAAATTGAAATTTTTAAATATCTATTTATATAAAATATTAATTTGATTAGTAAATTTTGCATCTTTGGTGCTTCTGTCATATGTTGGTTATAACAGGTTATAACAGGTATATAATATTAGATTGGTGCTATATGCCCTACACATTTTGGAGAAAATGATATGTCATTTTTGAACCTTTGGCGCTTATGTCATGTAGCCAGAATACCCTATGTATACCCAAAATAATAATTCATTGAACTTTGAACAGTTTAATTTAAATATACTTAACACCGACCATTTTACAATTTTTATTTTTATTTTAGGAGTTTTTTGATCAAAAAATCTTCCATAGAGAAATCATATTCTGATGTAAGTATTAACTGTTTATGCCAAACAATGACAATCTCAAATAATATAGCGTAAGGGGCTAAGATCATGTTTAAGTAAATATTTATGTAATTATTTTTATAGGCATTACTTAAAATATCTGTTGCTTTTTTGAACAAGAAAATTGCTAATATACCGGACATAAAGACTGAAGGCAGTGAAGAAAAATGGTAAGCATATTTTTACTGTAGTATGTTTACTGTATGTCTGTATAGATACTGAAATAGGTAACACATTTTGAAGCAATAGTTTTTTAAATATAACTTATAAACATTCAAAGTATAGTTAAGTGATGTGAAGTGACATGTAATTTTAAACACAATTTATACGTATGTACTATGTATAGTAGTTACGTATTATAATTTATTATATGCAGACCATTATTTGATAAATATCCACTGAGTCTGACACTCTATTCTCCCTTAAATATAGTAAAAAAAATGTTTCGACAGTTATGTCACTTATGTATTAACCACTATTCCATTGCACATTTGGCCTTAAATAGTAAAGTTATAGATTCAATACCAAGTCATAATTCATAAGCTACTTTAATATAATATAATATATTATAATATTTTATTATTTTCATACTTAAATACAGCGATGTAATTCATAACCATAATGTCTAACAAATTATTTAATTTTATGATTATTTCATAGAGTTCACTTTTTAAACATCTGACTTTTAATAGTATGCTCTTTGTGAAGTGATTTATTTTTACTTTTTATCTTTCGATAATTTCATCAGAGTTTATAATATGTTATTGGATATTTGTTGTTGGAAGTCATAATCATAAGCACTAAAGCTTCTAACTAATCTTAATTCAACGAATTTTGGAAGCGAGTTAAAAATTAAAATTGAAAACTATCGTAACTGATCCACCTAGTTTTAAAATAAATATTTAAGCAAGTGCAGTATGAACTCAAGTAGGTATTTAAAATAATAGTTTAAAGTATTAGTATAATAGCTGGTATTACCTACCTGACTTCAGAGTTGAAGAAAGCGTAAGAAGATACTTATATATTAAAATGTTAATTGTTGATAAGCATCACTATAAAGCTTATAAGTGGATACTTCATTAAAACGTTTAAGTAGCGAACAGCACAGTTCTTATACACACTTTGTTTTCTTTACAAGATTTTTCGTAAATGTTTGTATCAGCAATATCGATAATAATATCTTTGAGGTTTTCATTGCTATTAAAACTATAATCGTATATACCTCTATAGGTACATGAATAGGGATATAGTTGTTTTTAATTAATTTTAACTCAAATCAAAATTTTATAATTCTGAATGAAAAATTATGCAATATCCATAGTAACATCTTTGTTAAATCATTTTGAAATCTATTTTAAAACTATAAAATTTAGTGTACGAAAAAGATGCTAAATCTATATATATTTTGTTATCTCTTTTTAAAATCATCCCTTCGTGCAATATGCTTTCAACAACGTTATCCATCACAGTATTTTATATATTTTTGGAATCTAAATTTTTTAGTTCGATTAGTTATTGCATCATCTTTTGTTAATATCATGAATCAATATTTATTTTTATTGTTTATACAAATTATACGATATTAATTTTATTTCAGTAAATCTTTAGTAGGTATCCACTTTTTCTAGTAGACTTGAATGTGTGTTTATTTGCACGTAGATTATAATATCCCCTTAAAAAATGACCTGATTATAAAAAAAGAGTAACAGTAACTCCAGAAAAATGAAATGAGAACATTGTTTAAATCAATATTTTAAAGTTTTTTTTTTTTCAATATATTTTATAGACGCTTGTATTAAAAGTACAGTACCAATAAAATGTTTTATTTTTTAATACTAAAAATAATAAAATATGCATTTTATTACGTATTATTATAAAATTTCAATATTCAAAACAACTCATTTGTAAATCCAACTAAAAGAAAAAAATGATAATATTAAAAACGTTTATTTAAGCCAAGTAGTTTATTTTTAACAATTTTTAAAATATCAATATTTTTTTTTTGAGTAAATTCATTTGAATCTTAATAATTTTTTCAAAATAATTTTTGGGTATTTTTAAGTATAACTTATAATCTTAAATAATATATTATCCATATAGTTTTTATAATTTCAATGGTAATACTTAAATAAATTTCGTGCACAACACAAACAAGTGCTATTTAAATAAAAATGATCATGCCAACATCACAATTTGCAACACAACCGGAACATAAAGAATATTTGATAAGGTTTGATGTTTTTTTTCGATAGCGGTGACAATAATTTATCAGTTAATGACAGTTATTGTCATTGACTTATGGACTCACGGTATCCGATAATTTCTAAAAAAATGTGGATTTAATATATAGGTAATATTCTATAATGATATTTGGATTATTTAAAAATGTAAATAAGGCTATGTACAGGTTAAAAATCAAATGTGATAATATGTTATTTAATTAACACAATGGTAAATACTGTAATAAATTAGTCTTTATAGTCACAGTTTATAATAATTTCGTAGTTCGTATTACCCACACCAAATGTTGTATTATACACGATGTGGCATATTACAGACAAACATAAACCAGAAGTTTCTGACATAAAAAGTCTAATAAGTAATAATACCTGTGGCTATAATATAGGTACTTAATAAATATTATCATAATATAGTAAAATAAAAATAATATGATTAATTAGTTACTTATATATAAATTATAGTATCATATGTTATGCATTTATAACTACTATATAATATAACTTGCGTAGTTGCGTGCAATATAAATAATTAATCATTAACTATAGGTACCTAAATTTCAACATAATATAAAATGAACATTTTTTTTTAATAAAATTATAAAAATATATCAAACTTAAAAAAGTCGTTTGAATAAAATGTCTTGTTTGTAATATTAGATATATTATATTAGACATTAGGTTATACGAACGTGTGTTACGTTAATATTAATATGTAGTTTAGCTATCATAAATAATGAGTACACTGAAAGGTAGCGCAACATTGGTTGATTATTATACCTTTTGTTAGACTTTAAACGGCTCGAATCGATCAACGTGACCCGCACGCGCATCGTCTGGTGGGTCCGCGCCTTACAATACTATCCCCATGGCCTTTCAACGGACAATGTGTTCTAAATAACTCAGTTGTAGTTTAACACGTAAAACGAAGTAGGAATCATGTGTAGTACCTATTCTAATTGATTAGAAACCAACATGTACATTTGTTAGTAAAAAGTACTATTATTTTTACATTTTCCAAGAGTGGAATTTTTCATTTCACTTTTATTTACCAAAATTGTATAATCAACTGTTCATTTAATTTAGATTAACTGTACAATTAATATATATTATATTGGTTCGACAATTGGAAAAGAAAATACGCAAATTTTACAAGCAAAATAAATAATCATCAAGTCATAACTGTGACAAAAATATTTTCATTTTTATTTTTATGATAATATTATAATACCGTGATAAAGTATCAAAGGATCTGACAACGCATAGGAGCGGACAACTACCAATAATAGCGAGATAGGTATACTGGATGGAAAGTGATAGAAGAAAAAAAGTGAACAAAAATATTACTATATTAAATTATAATAAAATAAATCTTAAACGTTTAATAAGGCTATTCAATTCTTAACAACAGACTGCTTAATTTTTTCTAATTGAGAGAAGTCTAGACCAGGCTTTGAGAACACGTGTTAAATGTAGTCAAGTTCAGCGAGGATTTATTCGGAGAAATTTAATGCCCGGAGAGCATATTAATACAACACTCGTTGGCGGTTACTTAAAAAATGGCAAAAGAAAAGGGAAACAATTGTTGCATAGTAATGCTCGACTTAGCCAAAGCCTTCAATATGGTAGGCCATTACCACTTACGTCACACATTACAGTCTCTATCGTTACCGAAAAATCTACAAAACCTCGTAATATCCCTAGCAACTTCAAACTCTATTAAAATCGAGGTGAACAAGCAAACAACTGACTACATTTCACTACCTACGTCGTGATGTAGCACAAGGCTCCCCTCTTTCTAGTATGTATTCCCAAAATTAATCTATCCCATGCAGACAACTCCTTTGGACCTCTTAGAACGTCCATTCTTAGAATCAATTAACTAAATTATGCGACAAGGGGTAAGAGAGATAATAGGACTCCCTGCCGACACCCCAATTCCGGTATACTACACCAATCGTAAACTCTGCGGTCTTGGAATTTTATGAGTAATCTGGGAAGTTTCACTACAGCACATCAACATATGTCAAAACCTCCTCAAAATCAATGACAAACATTTACATATCACTCGTAATATGGACTTAGAAATTAAACTATGTAGAGAGAAGCTGGGTGGAGTGGTTGGAACTAACGTAAGCGCAATACGCGCAGAACTGCGGGCATTAGAGTTTGATAAATGGTCACAAATTCCACAGAGAGGCATAGGTATAAAATGGTTTAAATCATTTACCCCTGTGAACAGCTGGGTTTCAAATAGATCGGGCATAACAAGTAGCGACTGGTGCAATGGTATAAAGATGTCAATGAATTCGAATTAAACTTAATTATATTCCATAACTGTTTTGTAGTATCATCGTAGTAATATGCTGTACATTATATAGATTGTAAGAAATCGGATTTATTCAATACAATTTTTCAAAATAAAATTACTAAATATAATGCATCTTAAAAAACATGTTGTAAATAGAACGTATAAATGAAAACAAAAGTAGGGGTGGGTGCTCTCAAAATATAAGAAAAATTGTAGTGGAGCTCCGTAGTCCCCTGCGTATTTCAAAATTCGAGCAGTAATAGTAATAATTCAACACTGGCTATTATCTAGTTAAACGAAGCTAGACAAGTGTCAAAATAATTGACCTACACTCGACAAGTACTTAGTACTTACTTTATATTTTATTTGAATAATATTAAATACATGGGATTTATGAGGACAGTGGATCATGTTTGGTTACGAGGGTAGGTATATTCCGTCAACGCTTCGACGTATTATGTTTAATCCTAGCGTGGTGTATTTCTTCGGAAGATTTGAGGTAGGTGTTTAGAATTTCATATAGTCGTAACACGTAGGTAGTTGAAATATTAGGCATAATTAACTATCGTAAGATTTTCAAAATGAAAATAGGTACAGTTAAATTTTAACAATCTTTCATGAACCCATGGTGAAATACATAAAGTAAATACATATTTTAGTTATGCATTTTATTAAAAAACTTAAATAGTTAAATGTTTTATTCAGAAGTTCATGATAATCTACTACCTACCTATAAATCTGCCATAACCATGAACTATAATTACATTAGCTTAACATGCTAACTTTATGAAACTAAATATTAAAATAACACAGGTAGTAGATATCTGCAGTAGTATGCTATTGAACAATAGCATCAAATTGTAAGGATATAGCAGGACATTTAACAGAAAAAAAAGTACAAGAGTTTCATAATAATTAATTACTGTATTGTTAAGTTTTATTTTCATCGGAGTTTAAAATTCAGTCTTTCTTTTATTTCAATTTTATTATCAGAGAAAAAAGGTCAAATTTTTAAAAGTACAATTACCTACATTTAACAATTAAATTGAAACTGTATGTTTTTTTTATTAAAGCTTTTCTTTCATCCTCTATGTAAGACAATATCTTTAATTATGGATAGTAGATATTATATAATTTAATAGTTTTTAAGTGAATAATTTTTTATGTAATTTTATACAATTATATACGGTATGAAAAACAAAAAATACTATTAAACAGGTCTAATAATGTAATTTATAATCATAGGTAGGTAATGTTGTTTTAACAAAAGTTGAAATATGACAGATTATTAATAACTTTAAATTTAAAGATTAGTTGTTCATGCTTAATTTAGTAAAAGGACCAACATTTTAAAATGTCATTAACTACTTACTGTAACTATTATGTGAATATTCCATTAGGTACGTCATGTTTTGTCCAAAATAATGAAATATTGTTTAAAATGTCAGAGCACTTCAATTCCATAAAAAGTTTTGATTAACTTAAAAATGTAACTTTTTACAACAAATTTATCAGAATTTTTTTTCTCCGTTTTATTTTTGAATTTATTAAAAGTATAATAGTATTATTAAAATGGATCTGTATTAAACTTTTTATTGGCCCAAAATGTGTTACAAATTAATACAATTAATAATTAAGATAGGTACCTATTATAGAACTTAATTAGTCAATATGTTATAAACTTAGATCAAAAGTCAACAAAAATAGTGATATTGATTACATTTTTTAATGGATAAAAGTTTTTTTTTATAAAATATAATTAATATCTAAATACGGTTGGTTTCTATTCATATACCTAACTATTTTCTATAACAGCTAAAACTCATGATATTTCTACCTAAATGTGAATATCCAATGTTGAAGCTGTGATTTTTTTATTTATTTTTATTATTTTGAAATAATTTCCATGACGATATGATAAAAGGTGTGGAATATTCAGAACTGTAAAATACTCAACATAATCTATTTATGAAAAAAAGTTGAGTTTTATCTGTATCAAAAATAAATATATTCAACTATAATATATTTATCCTACAACGTAACTGTTTGATAGCATTAATTATTATTCTTAAAGTTATCTAAATTAAGTGTGATTGAAAAATGTATGAATAAATGTTTATTTATTTTTAGGAATATGTGGAATGTGTGGCGAACAGTTCTTGAAGAAAACGAAACGGCTGCAAAGGCACGATTAGAAGCAATCGAAGTTTTACAAAACCAAATAAATGACGAGGCGAAAGCTCTTCGAGCGCATAAACTTCAGATTGCAAAAAAAGTAATTTATCAATATCATTTTCTCCAGTTTTAAAAAAAATTTAGTCCACATTACCCATAAAACATTTTTTAAAGTATGTGGATATTCTTATTTCTCAATTTTGTTTACATCGATATCTTAGTCAGATTTGGTATATCGTATAGATTTAATTTTTGGAATAAATAAATTATATAGTTTATTTTATTTATTTATTTATTTATTTATTTATTTATTTATTTATTTATTTATTTTACATTACGGGACTAGCCCAAAGTACAGTTAATGGAATAAGATACAGACAAAACATTATAATAATATTGATATAAAACAAAGACTAAAGATTAAAGACTCGAGAGGTTCTCATTTGCTAAACGCATCATTCGGTGGATAGGGTGGTTTCGGCCATAGTTAGTGGTGTGTCGAGGAACGTAGTAGGGGGCCGTTAGCCTGGAAGACCTACTTGGAACACGAAAGTTTACCTCAGCGAGAAGCTCGGGAGCATTTATGGTACCATTCGTAAGTTTATTTAGGAAGATAATGTTGGCAAAAACTCTTCTATCGGAAAGACTACTAAGTTGTAAGTGGTGTAAGACTGGGGAATAATCGTGAGGTTCATGACGGATATTAAGACAAAAGGATGCAAAATTAAGGAATTTACGCTGAACACGCTCAAGTAGGGAAGAGTCAGAGGTTGTATAAGGATCCCAAAGAATGGAACCATATTCTATTATCGGCCTTACAAGCACACAGTATAAATTTTTGAGAGAATAGGTTAGATTGAAATTAGAAGAGAAGCGTTTTATAAAACCTAATGTCTTTAAAGATTTACAGGTGACGTGCTCAATGTGGGAGTGGTAGTCTAAGTTGGAAGTTAGAAGGATACCCAAATCTTTCTTTACAGTAACTCGCGTTATGGAATGGTTGTTAAGAGAATAATCGAATAGAATAGTAGCTTGGCGTCTAGTAAAGGACATAATCTGACATTTGCTGATGTTGAGGTATAGTCCATGGTTCTCTAACCAGGTGGATAAACAATTGAATTCACTCTGAAGGCGTATGCAATCATCAATGGAGTTGACGCATGAAAATAATTTAACATCATCAGCAAAAGCCAAAAAACGGCAGTGCTTAAGAGCAGAATTCAAGCCGTTAATAAAAATAGCAAATAGAATTGGAGAAAGATGACCACCTTGAGGGACCCCTGAGGTAACGTTTATCAAACTTGAGCGACAATCTAAAATTTTTACCCATTGCTTTCTCATAGTTATGTATGATTTGAACCAAGATAGTAGCGGTTCGCCGAAGCCTGCTTTGTAAAGAACGTCAATGAGAATATAATGGTCTACTTGGTCAAAAGCTTTGGAGATGTCAGTGAAAATTACATCCACTTGAGAATGGTTTTCAAGAGCCTGTAAAGTGTAGTTGTTAAATACCATACTATTGAGAGTGGAGGATCTATTAGGCCGAAAGCCATATTGCTCGTCGATAAGAATAGAGTTAACTGGAGATTGAATACTACGGACAACTAGGTATTCAAAGAGCTTTGCAAGATGACTTAGAACAGATATAGGCCTGTAATTACGGATGTCATCACGATCTCCGGTTTTGTGGATAGGAGTGACAGAAGATAATTTCCAAATGTCAGGGAAGATACCGTCATCAAGTGAACGCCTAAAAATTATCCATAGGGGGACTGAAATTACAGATTTGATATTAGCTAAGAAAGAACCAGGAATACCATCCGGACCAGCACTTGTAGTGTTTGATAGGGTTTTTAATTTAGTTTCTATATCAGAAACTGAAAAGTGACAGTTACTAGGCAATTGGTGAAAAAGAAATGGGGTACTAGGTAAGGCAGAGCTACTAGATGGTTTGTAAACGGAAGCGAAGTGAATGGAGAACATGTTAGCTATTTGTTCCTTACCTGAGTATTGTTGAGCGTCTAGATGCATGACATTAGGTAGCCCAGAGCTTGAACGACTTTTGCGTACTAATTTCCAGAAAGATTTTGGGTTGCTATTAATTTGGGATTCAATATGAGTTAGGTAATTATTGTGACATTTTTTGGACAAGTATTTAAATTGTGCACGTAATTTAGAGAATGCAGAATAGTCCTGCTGGTTGTGTGTAGCTTTGAAAGTGGCATGTGCTCGTTTTTTAGTGAACACTAATGTTTTTAATTCCTTTGTGAACCAGGGAGGAAACTTTGAAGGAGTAAAACGAATTTCGGGAACGAAGTTGAGTATAGAGTAGTGTAAGGCATCATACAGGCAATAAGCTGCAGAATTTACATCAAGGTTGAGTAAAGTTGAGGACCAATTGAAAGAATTTAGGAAAGAAATTATTTTTGGATAGTCAGACTTGCGAAAGTCAAAAAATGTATGGGAGTTATTTACAAAGGGTATATGAGGGATGTTTAAAAGTGAAATCTCTAAAGCTGGGTGAAAGGAATCACAGGGAACGAGATGGTTGAGACTCTTTTCAACAGAGATATTTGCAATATTTGAAAATATTAGGTCAAGTGTGGATTGAGAAGAGTTGAGGACAGAGTTATGCTGGAAAAAGTTTAAGGAAGCGAAGGTTTCGGGAACACAGGAGCCAGAAGAACCAGAGGTTGAAGAAAAAGTTAGTCCATCAGAGTCGTTTGACCAAGATAATCCAGGTAGATTATAGTCGCCACAGAATAAATATGTATTGGTAGGGTTCGCATTGATTAAGGATTCAACCGTTTCCATGTGAGATTCATATAGGAGAGAGGGACTAGAAGGAGGAATATATACACTGGAGACAACATAATTAGTGTTCTTGTAGTGGAACCCTATAAATAGGTGTTCTACTGTATTATTAGAGACAGTTATTGGGTAAGATATGATATCTTTCCGAATAGCAATGAGAACCCCACCGCCCCTTTTTAAGTTACTCGTAAGGTTACTTCTATCACATCTATATACAAAATAATTAGATAATCAAAATTTTATGTAGGTACCATGATATAATAGCAATTAAATTACTAAATAAATAATATGTACCTATGATTTCGACTGTGGGTTTATATTAAAATGCATTATTTTATTTTATGTATGCATATTATAATAGCTAAATAAATGATTTCATTATTTTTATTATTCTAAGCTAAAATATTTATCATATATTATTATATAATTATAGTGTACAGATCATTTAGCATTGGTACAAAAAGAGCTTCATTCTTCCGTCCAAGATGTAGATAAAACGAAAAAGTTTTATTTCGACGAAGAACAAAGTGCTCATGAAGTGAGAGACAAGGCTAAGGATATAGAAGAAAAGTAAACTTTTAATTTATTGTTATATACTTATATACGTGAATAATATATTATAAAATTACTCTTTTATAAAATTAAATTGCTAGTCTTTACAGGTCGAGATAAAATATGTAGAATTTAACATTGAATTTAACGTGGGTGTGAAATTGTAATTCTATACTTAAAAATAGTTTTTCGAAGGGTAAAAACGCTTAGAAAATGTTTAATTAAAGTGAGCATTCAAATTAATGAAATTCATTTGAAGTGTATATCTTATTCATAGTATTAACTATAAACATTCGTTACTTATTGTATTTTTTTTAATTATCTTTTAGATTCAGAGCTGAGCAAGAAATGTATTGATCTTATAATGACATTAAAATAAAAAAAATTAAGTATATGTAATCGTTTTATCGAATAGGAGGAATAATCTAAAAGTTTCACGTAGTCAAACCAAACCTTCTATAGTTCGGCAGATTATAGCTTATACACAAAATACTTACCTTTATATACTGATAGGTGAAATATGTGAAGAATGTATTGTAATATTTTCGAGATAATTGAAAAAAAAGATGGACGAGTGGATATCGCTCTGCTGTACAGTAGGTTACAAGTGGGTCACTGTAATGAATGTTGTTAAATTTGAATTCAATGATATGATGTCATTGTATAAGAAAAATGATTCTGAGTGAAAACGGTCAGTCAGCCTATGATATTACTAAGTATATTTGATGATATTATTGTGAATAAAGTAATTTATATACCTACCGCCTATAACCTATTTACGTGGAACCTTGTTTTAAATTTTTAATCCTTAGCTATAATCGAACTTTAAATGTTTATGAAATAAAAATGTGCTTATGTATTTTCAATGTTTTTCAACTGCTATTGTAACAATATATCAGGAGTCTTGCATTAAATTTTCACGCTTTTTTACCCAACAAATACATTTTAATTGACATAATTTATAGAAAAAAAAACGAAAAAAATTGACAACTGACAATGTCCGTAAACAGCTGAAAAAGAGTCAAAATATTTTCAAAATTTTATGGTGTATAGAAATTGAAACTATAAACATTCATTATAATTTTCATGTATTTACAGTTAATCGTTTTTGAATAACAACAAAATAACAAAATCGCTTTATGAGAAATCGAGTGAATATCCAATATCTTAAAAATATGAAATTCAGACGCTCATAAAAAAATTTGATTTGCTTGAAGACATTTTTTTTTTTTGATAAAGATAGACAAACTCATGAATATTGTTGTTTTACATTTTCAAATCTTAGATTTAAAAAGAAAAATTTTTATTAATTTCTAATTCAAAATAATTTGCAAATTTTCGTCATTTTTACGTATTATGTCAATATTTGAACTTTAAATGCGTATAAAATAAAATTGTGAGTATGGATTTTTAATTTTTTTCATCTGCCTTTGAAAAAATATACTAGGATCCTTCTATTATATTTCTAAGCTTTTTTTACCAACAAATAAATGTTATTGAAATTAATAGAAAAAAAAACTAAAATATATGGAAATTGAAAATGTCCGTAAAGAGCTCAAAGTAAGTCAAAATATTTGGAAAAAGTTAGGGTGTATAGAAAATGCTAATTTAAACATTCAATCAAAATTTCATGTACCTACGGTCATTTGTTTAACAGTTTTCTCAAAAACAGATTTTGCATAAAAATTCCCGTTTTCACGGCACTTATGTAACTACTGGGAAATTTTTACTCTTGACTTCCCAAAGTACCAAATTGATTCACTTTCCTATCTGTAAAGATACTGTTGAAGAAAATTTAAGCATTTATACTGTCCGATGATCACGATGTCCTAAAGGTGATGACGGACACAAAAATAAAAAAGTAAAAAAATTAAAAAATACACATCATTATAAAATCAATACCTACATTCATTGTTTCACTCAGATTCTAAAACATACTAATACATAGAATTTTCTACATTTATTTTGAATGTAATTGAACTTTTTACTTTAACAATATTGACGAGTTTAATAAGAATAACAATTGAATAAATTGTTTAAGTTTGCTAACACCAGTCTATGTGCGACACGGCAATGCCTTTTATTTTAATTGGCTGGTATTTTTCGCAGGTTAAAGAAAAAAAAAGGATCGTTTCTTCAGTCAATCACCTCTTTACAAAAGAATAGTGTGAAAGTAAATATTATAATCAATTTTAGTTTAATATGTTAAACAAATATTATTATATTATAATAGTTTACAGTTGGAAGTTTGGAAAAAATAGAAATATTATACTATGACTATCAACTTTATATGATAATAATTTGTTTGGATTGTTAAATAATATTAAAATGTTCGATATTTTTAGGTGTCTTCCAGAAGAGAAGTTTTGGAAGAGAAATCTTCGGGAGCTAGAAACGATTATTTACTGAGTCTGGCAGCTGCAAATGCTCATCAGACACGATACTTTTTGGTTGACCTTCAAATGTAATGAATGTGAGTATACAATACATATTAATATATTATACATTAACTTGATTAACATTTAAAATACCAATCATAATATATTCTCCTTTTAACGAATGTAAAAATATTATTTAATTGCAATTGTTAAAATAAAATTGTTCGATGATAATAGTTTTAAATGTTGAAGCACGCTTAATACTTAATGCTTTTCTTCATAATATAATGATATTTAAGTTATGTGGTAATTTGATACTTTATATATTATCACTTACTCATTTAATTTATTCATGTAATTTTCAAGTTAAATTCATTGTTTTCAGTTAGTTTGTAACTCGTTTTCTCAAAACTAATTTGAATAAGTACCTAATAAATTATAATTTTATTCTAATTAATTTATTTCTACGCAATGAACTTAATGTAAAGTATTAAGTAAAGTTTGCTCACAATCTACTATTACCTACCGAACCTATTGATTTTTTCGACATTTATTTAACTTGACTATTATTTGATTGTATATAAACTTTTTGTTACTAAAAATCTTTTGAATTTACTGAATATAGACTATGGAACATAATGTTTATGAAAAAGTACAAGAATATTTGGCATTACTAAGTAAAATCGAGCTCCTTACGTGTACTGTTGTTCATAATTCGTTTAAGAAAGTCAGAGATCAAGCACAACAAGTTAGTAACTATATAGTATAACAATATATTTATAAATATTATATTCTGTTCACAAAAATGTCATACATAAAAAAAAAATGTTTAGTTGAGTCGAGAGTACAACATGCAATGTGTATACCTCTTCTATCCCGTGTTGAAGCAACATGTTCAATACCAATTCGAAGCTTGTGACGGAGACGGTATAGATCACATTACAGCGGATCACGGTGGAGTGGTGACTATACTTAGCCAAGAAGCGAAAAGGTGGGCTACACGAATAATTAGGGAGACGAATAACATCAAAGAAAACACTAGAAAACTACAAGTCTTCCAAGCTCTCAAGGATTCTGGACAAAAGGTAAAACTAATAATTATGACATTACGTCAATGGCGTTATTTGGAATTGGTTCTGGGGTGGAATATAAATTTATATTATCATTCTAGCGGGGGGGCTATACCCCCACACCCCCTTGTCCATTAAATCTCATATGTCATAATCATTCATAATATTATATTCATTTATTATTATAAATTAAATGAGGTAAATGGTACCTATAATAATGGTTTTAATAGACAATAAAGTAAACAAATAATAAGATAAGGGTCCCGGTGCCAGTTTTTCAAATTTTCCGCAATTCTATACAATTTGGAAATTAAATTTTATATTTTAATTTCCACCTCAATTTTAATACTTTTCCACTAGTCTACTACCCGATAAATATTTAGGGGGGTTTATAGGGTGTATTATATCAAAAAAAATTACTTCACTGGAACAACTCTCAGGATTTGTAGAATTTTCGGATTTTGATTACTATTTTTTTTAACTGAAAGAAGAAAACTTCCTACAGCCCTCATCAATCTCTGATTTTGTATTTTATTTCAAATAAATGTACTAAAAAATTTGTTAAAAATACTTTTTAACTTGTATTTTTTTAGGCATATTATAAAGTTTGAGAATAAAATATTGAAAAATAGAGATTGATGCGGGCTATAGAATATGTCCCTATAGCAAATAAAAAAAAAATTCTGAAATGTTGTTGATTCTACGAGGTGGTATCGTTATTTCCACAGAGCGTATTTTTGAGGACAAAATGGCATCGACACAGCTAAGGGTGCCTTAAATGTATTTTTCATAAATTATAATATCAAGACAGTTTTCCTTTTTGTTTTTTCGTCAAAATATGCAGTATACGTCATCAGGGTTAAACTTAATGTCCCGATGCACTGATAACATTGTAAGTCCATTCAAGCAGCTTATCACGGCTAAGAAATAGGCTACGAATGTATGTACAAAAGGCAAAGCACACCTTTTTGTGGCCGTCCTCCAATCCCCGCCTACCATGTCGTTTACAGTCCATTGTATCTTCGTCCGTGAGCTGTAGGAACAATTGTCTTGTCGTATATTGTAATTGTTGAGCTATCGTAGTTTTATAGGTACTAGAAAAATCAAAAAATCTCAACTATGATAATATCCATGAATTCTTATTTCTCATTTTAAAATATTTCTTATCTTAAAATCTTTTAAAGCCAAGTGCTTACGGGAATTTAATTATGGTTATTCTAAAAAAAAAAGGCCTCTGGGGGGATATATCCCCATATCCCCATATCCCCATATCCCCCTCTACCCCAAATTTTTCCACCACTGCATTACGTGTTTTGATTTATTATGTAATTACGTTTGTGGTTTGTTATATAATAAGACTGTTTTATTGATCGAAACACTCATTAGGTATATAGCATTGCGTTACATCTCAAACGCAAAACAGTTTCCATCAAAATGTATGTGTTGGAAAAAATATCCATTTCATGAACTCTCGAGACGATGAATAATTCATTGATCGACTACATGATTTATTGGTATACCGCGTACGACCTAAAAAATACACCAACTATTTCGTGTAGTTTATCATCAAATGGCTTTTAAAACAGTGCGCACGCTTTATAAGCGATTAATTATTATTAAATATTAAAGAAATAGTTTATTTAGGGGGAACCATTGCAGATAGATAAAAATTTGCAACAATTCTAAGCCTATTTTAATAATAGGTACTAAATATATACATACCTATTGGGTGAAGCTATTTTAATTTCAAGGACTTTTCAGAATCCTATAGATTTATTTGTACAAATTGACTGGTTATAAAGACATCGAACATATAAAGACAATATTGGCTACAAATATATACGACAAAATGTATGTTATTAAGATCGTATTAATATCGCATATATTGGTAAAATATTATCGGTATAATTACCTACTCTTATACGTCTTTAAAAAAGTCACTATATCTACTAGAATGTAGTATTTTACATCATATTATACATATCTGTATTGATATTTTAGTATTGTTGGTGCCTTGTATTATGATGTTTGATGTGGTTGTGTGTAACGAGTTTCATTAAAATTATTAAATTAAAAATAATGAATGTTGGTTATAACTTATAACTTATAAGAGCTTCTAGTTATAACGACATATTTTTAGAGGTCACGTCTTAGCCGTCGTTATAGATGATGCTAAATGTAATATCGTATTTTATATCAATTAATATATATATATTTTTTTGATTCATTATAGAACGACCCGAATGATCCAAATGGAGCTGATTTGGAAACTAAAATAGAATCTTTGAAAAACAGCATTCGGAGATCTGAAGTAAGCTTAACAACATTGAGTTAAAAATTATTTTTTTATTAAGGCTCCTGCAAACTCTATTAATTTTTCATAAAAACGACCTTAGCGACAGACAAAAATTAGAGTAAGTGTGGTTCGATTTAAAAAATGTAAAGATGTTTTAACTGGCCAACAAGTTTACTTTGCATATTTTTTATATTTTAGATATTTTTGAATAAATTCAATACTAATAATGTATAAATTTATAAAATTTTAAATATTTATTCTCGTCAAGAATTTGCTAAAATTGAAAAAGTGCTCCGATGCAAAGTAAACTTGTTTACCAACACAAACATCTTTACATTTTTTAAATCAAACCACTAGAAGTACCTTAATTTTTGTCGGTGTGACGGCTATTTCACGTCCATAAATTGGTTTTGAATATTTTGATCTAGACATTAAATGACTTGTGCATGTACGTGATAAGAAATAACAATGTATTGTAAATTGATTCGAGTCGCGGGTGATTGTAGGGGAGTACACACACACTAATGATCATTTACTACACACACAAAGACGATCAGTAATCGCAGGAACGAAATAATTGCCTGAACACAACTCCTTAAAAATGACACATTTACAGGGGCCTTAACATGTGAATATAAAGTTTGAATATAAAACCACGTAATAATACTAATATAACAGGCTGCAGGGCAGAGAAAACAAATTAAAAAATTTCTACTATTATAATCTATATCAATATAACTTCGAGTTATGTTTGTGTGTTATTGTTGACGTTATCTTAATATTAGACAGTGCCATTCTCATTTCTCATATATTATATTAAACTTACAGCAACAATAATAATTGTTGAAATGTCGTTCCAAGCATTGATGAAATTATAATTATTTAGTGCATAATAAAAGCACCAACCAATGGTATATATTGGAGTGTTATATATTAATATTAAATCAACTAAGTTAGACATCGATGATAATAGTACATAAGTAATCAATTTTTGTCATTTTTATGTAATTCAAAAAATATTTATCTTAGAGACATGAAATTTTCAAAAGATTTAATCTAATATTATAGCTTTTTATTCCACCAACACATATTTTTTTTTAATACGAAATTCTCACCATTCCGTGGTATACATCGGTATTGACTATTGACTTATAAGTTATAATTTTATAAGCAAAGTTTTTGGTGAAAAATAGTTCCCCCTAGGTACCTAATTAAGATAATAATAATTTATGTTTAATATAATATAGGTAAGCTATCCTTAAGAACAGTTGCTGCCCTGTTATCGTCATATCCTTCTCTCAGAAACGTTTTTGAGTTTAGCTGGTATACAATGATTTATTTTTGAATTCATATTCATTTATTTGACACATAGTTTATATCTCATTTATGAGGTATAGGTCAAAACGGCGAAACCTACTTTACAGAAGAAATGATTTCCCCTTGTTAATTTCCGATATGAAGAGTTAATTACATTTTTTATTGTTTATTTTCTTATTTTTCAGATAGCCAAAGCTAAAGCTGAATCTCGTATTGAGTGTTTGAGAAATGGAGATGGAAATGGTACTTATATATTATGTTTTATTGTTTGGGAGGTTTTAACCGAGGGATTATTAATTTTTACATTTTTATTATTAAAATGAATCCACGTTTTAATTAAAGGTTGCTAAAGTTCAAATGTTGATTACGTATTATAATGTACAAAAAATTTAAATATAATATTTGTGTAAACATTAAACTGATCGAATTGTACATAGTTAATGTCGAAGAATGGCTAGCTGACATGGGCGATATAAATGCCGAACTTCAACGATCGAATAGTACATCTTCATTACCAATTGATGGAGGTACAACTAGTGCAATGACATCTGACTATGATAGTGAGGATTACGGAGACGGACCTTCAGACAGTCCAGTACCATCCGATCAGCCACAGTCGTCGTCTCAAGATGAAGAAGATCGACCAGATTCGGCAGAAATTGATAAAGATTGGGGTATTTATCGATATCATAAATTATTATTATACAACTTATTGTATTCCCATTATTATTATATCGTATTTCTAAAAATGAGAGTTTCAGTTTTATTTGTGTTGATACCCACCCCTTAATACCGTTGTGTATAATTTAGCACTTGTGGAAAAAGAACGGCAACGTATTGAACAATTAACAGCTGGTTGGGACGATCCGACTCAGGTAAATTGGGAAGAAAATCGTGACACTGAGGAAAAAACTATGTATCCTCAAACTGCTCCAGAAGAACCCGAAGGCCCCGTATACAAATGTACTGCGTTGTACAGCTATACTGTAAGTAAAATACAATAAAATTAGGAATATATTAACTTATTAATTACAATAAATAGGTTATAATTATAAATGGTTTTCATCAAATAATTGTTTTCGGTAGGTATTTAAATTCTTCGACAACGTCTTGTACCTACCGCTAAGATATTAAAGTATACAGTTCATTGTCGTCTATTGTTGACGATTTGTTGTTACTCATTATTGCCTATATCAATTATCATATATTCAATTTAATTAACACAAGAAAGATTCCGTTTTAAAGATATAATACCTTATTTTCGTGCATTGAAGTGTCCTTAGTTTCTGGATTACAATGTTGAAATATGTATTTTACATTTTTATTATTGTAATATAATAATATAATAAAATAAATTACTTCAAAGATTTTGAAGGTTTTTAAGTATCAAAATATCTATTTTGTCTTCTCTTATTTGTTATTTCATGTTGAAATCGGTATTATGGAGTCGACAATTTTTAATGGTTTATCATATAACTAACTTAACCTAACTCTAGAGGCACTTCATAAATAATAAATAATGCCGATCCTGTTATTTCCCCACCATAATGTAATTCACATTATACATACTTGTATCAGTGCTATTTTATTCATAATTATAATCATAAATTAATTTCGAAAATATTAAATTATTAGTATTTTCTTACGGACATGTTTTAGGGTCAACATCCTGATGAGTTGAGCATCGTTGAAAATGAGCAGCTTGAAGTGTTTAGCGTAGACAGTGATAATTACGGTTGGTCAAAAGCCAGAAATTACAAAGGTGAAGTAGGGTATGTACCATCTAATTATCTGGATATCGAACAAGAAACGTGTGATCCGGAAACACACGACACCCCTACCACATACCAACTTAGATCGCAGATTAGCTTCTCATCGGTGGACTATATGGTCAACGATGAAGCGGCAAATCAATCACAGCACTGCCAGTCTGACGAAGACATTGAAGCTGAGGAACAATCATCAGAAAAAAGCATCACTACAGTGTGGGAAAAGAAAGACGGAGGTAACTTTATTATGATATCTATATACGCACCTACTAAAATGTGATTTTGATGTTTACAAATTTAAAATGTGATGATGCTCTAATCGAACGATCATATTACACGTGTTTATCTGAAAATCAATTTTTTTTTCTCTTTCAGGCATCATAGAGGTACCGTCATATTGTATAGCCCTATTCGATTATGACGGAAATGATCCCGAAGAACTGGGTATGAAAGAAGGCCAAATTATTAAAGTGGTCGACAAGACTACACACGTAGACGATGGGTGGTGGGTAGGCGAGTTGGGTAGCATGATGGGACATTTTCCGTCGTGCCTAGTAAAAGAATGTTATGAGAACGGTGACCTAGTACCCACACCAACATCTGAAAATGGAGACAGTGATTTTTCGAACGAAGATCATCCTGAGTTTGTAACAAGTGGTCCACCACCTCCACCACCACCAGTATTTACACCACCCGAATTACCACCAACACATTTGTTCGCGACTCAAGTGATTGTCACCCAACCTACACCAATCGGTGATCATGGACCCCCTGGAAGTTTTGCTCCGGAAGGTGAGTGTGAAAGATTAACAATGCGTCAATACAAGATAATTTAAAAAGAGAATAATTTAAAAATAAATATAAACTAAAAGAGAGTTTTTGGCTAAAAATTAGGTAGGTAGTTGGATAATATAAAATATGCAAATAGAATGATATCAAGGGGCATTGTATATTTGTATAAAGAAAATAATGAATAAATATACCAAGACGATAATACTAAAAAGGAGGGAAAAAGTAATTTAAAAACGATGAAAATTGAATTTAAAATATAATAAATATTTACATATTATTATTTTGTGGTAGTTCCGTGGTTGTGGCAATGATATTGTTAAAATAATTTTTGAATGGTTAAAAAAAACTGTTCTTATTAATTAATAGGAAAATAGGAATATAATTAAATCATATTTTTAAAAATAAAAAAAGTACAAATATATAATAAACGTGGTACCTAAATTAATTGTATATATACATATTAAATATAGTTATATTACCGAATTAATAAAAAATATATACATATATCTTTTAATATTTATACATATTTAGGTAGGTACTTATATAGTATGTTATATTATGCTATTTATTGTAATATACATTATAAAACTAAATAGTTTAAGTAATTTATCTGAGTTCACAATTACTTTTAAATTATAAACTTACTTGCAATACATTATTAAATGTAATACGCATTGATATTAGAAGTGGTAATGAAAATTATGATAATATTTGTTGTTATCATTTGAGAATGATCTTAATTTTAACTTTTAAGGAATATTAGACTTGAGTATACCGTGATTATAACTGTAACATGGCATGATATAAATAATTTCCTAATAGTATACCAGGTTTTCATATGAATTTTACTAAAATTAAAAGAAATCAAAATTACTGCATAATAGTTTTTGTTAAAAATATTTTTGCTGTAGACTTACATGAATATGGATTTATAGAGGCAATTTTTTAAAAAATATCTTAAACGAGATCTTATGCAGAACTTCTTTTAGTTTAGTGTTTACTATGTACTTACAGAACACCCTCGCCAATAACATTACATTTTTGGTTCAATTAATTAATATTATTATCTCAGATAATTCATTTAACGATCATACATTATATTAATTAGCCATATAAACATTTTTGTTATTGACAATATAGATAATGAATATAATACTATGATAGGTACTACTTAATGCAATATATAGTGTTCCTAAATATATATATACAACGTTAGATAGTAAACTATAACAATTTTCCTAGATTTTGCTAAAGCATATATGATACTGTAAACTATAATGTTTTTTTTTAAAGATTTTACCAAGTTTTGGAATAAACAATCATTTGAGTTATATAAATTATAGAAAGCAAATGTGTTAAATAACGTTCTAGGACATGAACTTGGTACTAAATGTTGTGTTCCCCAAAGAAGTGTGTTGGGTCATATTTATTTATAATGTACTTACATTGATAGCGTTTTGTGACTCCCAAATATATGGCTCGATAATTTCGTATGCAGACGATACTAATTGCTTATTATTATCCAATACATAATGGAAATCTGTATATACTAAAACATCTACTGGGCTAAACCAAATTATTGAAAAACTAAATACTAAAAAAACTTTACATTTTAAGAAAACCTATTCTCTATAGCATTTTCCATTTATTCTTGCCAATTTCCATTTTATAAAACACAAATCACTAATAATTTATTTAACTCTAACAGTTAATAAAAAGAGCGTCTGGGTGAGATATTTAGGTCTAAATGTCTAATCTTTGACTAGGCGCCTAAGGACAATTATGCACAGGATATACTGTCCGAGGAAAATAATCTCATCAGAAATGTATGTATATTTACCTCTCTACCAACCTTTATTTCAGTATGGCATAATAGCTTGGGGTGATAATGATATCGTGCCATTAAATATCCAGCAAAATAAAATCGTTCGTATATGTCTTGAAAATACTTAAGACGGATCTAATAAACTAATATATAAAGAAAATTGCGCAGTACTAAATGTTTACTCTACAAATAATTTGTTATCATATTTATAACGAAAAAGTTTTCGACGTTATAATATATATCCAAAACGTAGTAGAATATGTAATATTTCAGTAAATTACACTAATAAAAATACTGGCCCAAAGGTTCATTGACTATTTATGCCATTCAATACGAAAAATATATATGATCTAACCATAAAACTAAAAACAAAATAACTATTTTTAATTGCCTTCTGCAGGAAGTTTTAGCTGTTAAGAAATATTAAATCTTTACATATTATTTTATTATTAATTTATCATCTTGTATTTTAATTTTAATTAATTTATAAATGTTTTTATGTTATAATTCCCTTTTCTCTTACACTGTGTCAGTGTGTCACTGTATGTAGGCATGTGTATAGTCAATAATTTGTAATATGCAACTCTCTGCTTCCAACACAATAGCTCTGCTTAAAAGAAGTATTGAAGTAAATATAACATCAAAATTGTTTCAGTCAATAAAAAAATATATATATAATATATAATATTATTGACTCAAGTTATATATTTTGTTTTTTGATTATAGTGCCACCGAAATCGAATGAATTTTCTATGGTGATTACTCAAAATCAACAAGAACAGTATGAAACTCAATTTACGGAGGAACCTTCTGATACAGTATCGGTAAACGGTGAGTGTTTAATGTTTATATTTAATTAACATATTAAAATATTGTTTTTATAACTATTTATAAATTCTTTTTTTATGTAATTTCAATGTACAGTGCCCGGTGTACCACAACTATTTATAGAAAATGAGGTAATATTATTAATACAAATTCAGTAGCTTATTAACACAATAGGTGTACAATACCCATTCTTCTTTCTTAATGTTTATGGTGAAAAAATTGTTCAATTACTTTTTAAAATTATCCATAAATGTTTGTTGTTCATAAGAATTTCTATACTTAGCAGTTAGCACACCATCAAAGCATATGCAGTACTTCTAAGTAATGATTTAATCCCTTCTAATGTCGAAAAGATGAAAGTTAGTGTACTAAAGTCTAAAAGTTTTCCATCAATCGAAAAACATGAATATATACCTGCCTATTTAACATATTGTTATGTAAACAATTAATATTTAAAATCTCAACAGTTATTATTGATAGCCAACTATAATATAATATTATAGTTTATTGACCTTTCCGATGATATTATTTTATTGGAAAAACCGATGACCAGAATATAAACAGCTGTGAGCTGTTCATTACACAACTATTTACAGTCACCCAGATGCTGGAAAACTATTACCACTATAGTCTATTCCACGAGAGAATAATCACTTTTCGCTCATCACGAATGATTCGATTGGTGCGTCGAGAACCACGTGATCACGTTAACACATGGAAATTGGTGGGGAATACGAGAATCGGTCGTCGGACTGATTATTCTCTCGTGGAATAGACTATAGGGACAATGGGTTCCATATGATAGTACCCACTTAATTGTTTCTGTTATATTATTTTATATAGGACGACTGTTCAGGACCTCCCGACGCTCCCCCTCCACCGGCGCCTGCACCCGCGTCCGACGGGCTGGGCGTCGCTCAAATCGTCATCACTGCTGCCACGCCAATGATGGAAGAACCGGAAAAGCCGTTCGGCGAAGAATCGGCTACGGTTGAGGCCGAAGCTGAACCGCCCAGCCCAGAGGTCGTATCGGATTCGAAATCGGAAGAGGAGCACCGTATGAGCGTGGATAGTGATTACTTCCCGGCCACAATACCGGAAGAATCTGAAGATGATCTGAAGTTGCTTGAGACCGATCATCATGCCGACACGGGTTTGCCGTCGGAGCTCGAACCCGGACAGCTGGCCAAACTTCACAATCTTAAAGAGTCAAACGCTTAGATACATTTTTTCATCGTCTTATTATTTATTTTTCAAGGTCGACTATATATATATAATTTTTAAGGCTCTACCTATTATATATTAAGACTAAGTATTCTTGTTTATGTCGTTATCGATCGGTAGGTATTCAAACCTATAACACTATTGCTATATAATATAATAAACTAAATGCTTACGTTATAATATATGCAACACATAAAACGAAACCTATGTCATTGTATGTTATAGTGTTATATACGTTTCTATTTTAGTAGTAAAATGTTAACTGTCAATAATATTACATTTCCTTAAAACACGTATCTTATTAAAAGTATTTATATTAATTCTGAAGCACGTTTAGAGACAAAATTAAAGGTTAATTTGTTCTTCGTATTATTCTTCTTGTTAATAGTATTATTTTCGATAGGGTAGAAAATAATTATTATAAATCTTATAATTTTTATAAGTGGCAAACGTACCTATTATATTATTATGTGACATCTAAATATTAATAAAAATGTATTTTCTATTCTCAGTTTACGTATAACTACCAACATTGATTCACCCCAAGGAACAAAGATATTTTGATGAGTTGGTAATTCAACAATAGATTATTGTGAATCCACTTTGGTCTTAAGTATACACCTACTATATTGTCATTCTAAAATTACTGTGAAATTGTATTTTATTTAATATTTTATTTACAGGTGATTCATCAATCATGCTCACTCCCATTTTTCTCTAATAATGAATTTATTCAACTTCTGATTTTTAGAATTTGAAAATATACTCAAAGACCATATTTTCAAATTCTTGAATTTTTTTTAAAATACTTAAAGAGTGCCCTGTGGTGATAAAAACTTCTGTTTTTCAAATGAGAATCCCTTTTTTTACTGTAAATTAATTAGTGAATAATTTTTTTGAAAATGTTATATGCCACATTCAAAATACGAATGAGTAGTGTTTCTCAATTATTAAAATATCTGTATTAAGGATAATAGTCCTTAAAAATGGTTTTATATTAATATAAAATATTTATATTTGGACTTAGTATTTATTATAGTTGGGCCATTTTTACAAATTATTAATATTGATAGATTAATATTAATGACTAAAATTTTCAAATCATCGTAGTCCCCATGGCTCACATTTTATAAACCCATTACTATGGACCTTTTATCCTTAGAGCACAAAGTTAAATAACTGAAAAACTACTCGTACGAATTTTGATTTTGATACTTTAATATTTTCAGAAAAATTATCTACTGTACCTATAATAATTTTCTAGTTGAATATTCTCATTTGAAAAACGGAAGTCTGTATCTCTACAGGACACTCCTTAAGTACCTAGTACAAAGAATTTCAAGAATTTTAAAATTTATTTATATACCTATGGTCTAAAAGTATAATTAAAAATTTAAAAAAAATCAGATTTTGAAAAACTGCATTATTCAAAAAAAAAAAAGGAGGTGAGCATGCTTGTTGAATCACCCTGTATTCAGTTGTCTACTGTTATTAATTAGATAAATAATGATTAATGGTTATTTAAGACGATTACTTTGTGTTGGTATTATAATGAAGACTATTGAAATTTTACATCAATAACAGTGATCTAACTGACGGGGAATACATTTAAATGTATAAGTAGGTAGGTAATGATTTATATGCTAGTCGCCTAAATTATTTTAACAAAATTATTCAATTAATATTGTGAAATCTATGACTCTTCATTATTATTCTATAAAGGTTAAAACGAAAATTGAACAAGCCTGCAGTTTTGATTTTGAAAGTCAATTGTATATTTTATACAAATTGAAAGTTCTAGTTATGTTTAGAACCATTTCGCAGATCTGGTCAAGAGTAATTTTTTGAAATATTTCCTCACATTTAAAAATAAAAAAATTGTTTCAAGTTAATTTAAATTCGCAGGTCTGGCCATTACCAGAGTGGCTTATAGACACTTAAACACGTCATTGACGTCCCGATTATTCGAAATCTTATATATTATTATGTATAAAGACTGTCGTTTTACATTTTCTACAGTAGATACCTACGCGTTCTACCTATACCTGTTTTTTCTGTGTAAATTAATATTGTATAACTTGCCTGTTATTGTTACGCTTTTGAAATTAATTTCAAAATCAAACGAACAACTAAAGCACAGGATTTATTGATATATGATAATTATGTGTTATCGAGTATCCATTATTATCCAATGTGAGTATAATACATGTGTTTTAATTACTTATACCACTAAAACACCGAATTATTGTTTATTATCATTTAAAAAATGCCAATTTTTAAATGACGTTACGACATAATTTAGTATATTATTATGTTTTGAATATTTTACAATTGTATTTACTCGATTACCATACTACTTTAATGATTGTTAAACATTCAACTCGATAAATTAATTTGATTTATGCTAATGCCATTTTACAAATCATGTTAATATCGAAATAGCAGAGATTCAGATTCAGGTTCTCACAGTTTAAAAACAAAACATCTCCGTGACATTCGCTAAATTCTATCCAATCGTTGACATTATATTGTATCACCAGCAAACACGTTCGGTGGTAGGTATGCAATATGAATCACGTTTACCTAATTACTGATGATTATTTACCATAATATTATTGTTCCAAAAGAATATATTTTAGACGAGTGGAATGTTTGGGCTTATGTTTTTTTTATCAAATCTATTGCTCAAAACGCATAGCTAAATAGCTGGGCATAGAGCTCCAAGAATCGTATTTATAATATAATATATTCGAATAAATAATAATATTATTAGTTATTGTTGTTAAATAATGTAATGTTTGTAATATTATGTTATTATTATTTGGTTTTCTTCTAAGTCGAAATTATTGTTTTACCGACGACGACGACTATAATATATTATATTTTGTCCCATATAATTTCGGTGAAAGCGAAAATGATCTGCTTGTGTGACTAAAATAGCTACCATAGACAATTGTATTATTAATTGTCAAAGGAGTGCCTTTTTTGTGTACGTTTATGACATATTATAATAATATTAGAGTCGTTAAAATGTTAAATGGGTTCAAACAAAACTTAAATCTAGGTTTTAAAATTAAAATAACTGGCATAAATAAACTTATATAGATCGTAATAATTTTTGGTATCCTAATTATTACCATTGATTAAATAACAATGTGTTATGTAATCTATGTTACTATTTACTATATCAATAACTAACAAATAAATATTTCGTAGCAATATTTATATATGATAACGACGTCTTCTTTTGTATAGATCGTTTAAACACTTTTAAATCTCCCCAAAATTAACTCATTTTAAACGAACTGCAATGTGTTAATTAATGTAAGCCGTTTAATGTTTTTTTTCGTACCTGTATTGTATTGTATTTGTTTAGTATTATGTATTATTAAAAAACCAAAACCAAAACGGTGTTGTTAATTTTTACAAAGGTATTAACTTCCTATAATACATCATTAATACCTATGCTAATGTAAAATAAATCGTTTATACCACGGAAAAAGTAGGTACCTGTATAATATATAATTGATTTGACCAAATATTTTATAGTTTTATAATTAGTAGTTTATAGTTAGTAGGTTAACTTACCTTAACCTACCCTAACAGCTATAAGCATTATGTCAAAACTAACTGTTATAATATTATAGTTGTCAATTTAACTCAGACAATACTCAGTCCGCCGACCAGTGTAGTTCACCCAAGAACTCGAAAAGAAAGGGAATCGGTTCTTCACAAGTCGGAAATGTTTGGCCGTGTGTGACGTGTATAATATCGTTAAGGACGATTGGAGAGAAAATTGGAGTATGCCGTCACCCAATCAACCACTGATGCGAGAAAACAGATAATTTTCTCATAGACAGTACCGTACCTCATCACAACCAAGAGGGGGGGAGGTGCTTTTTAAATACTATACTATTTTATTACCTATATAGGCTATAACCGTAATTAAAACATCACCAATACAAAATTCCTAGAAGGGGGGGCATCCACCCATGGCCCCGGCCAAAGCTATAATAGTAGACAGTAGGCACCTGTTATAATATAACTTCATTATGTTTGTAGTTAGTTCGGCTATTAATTTTGGTCAAATTAACTCAAATTTTAGCTACACCAATATTTTTACATGTAACTTAAGAAATAAAATTCCAAATAAATCTTGTTAACTTTGCAAGTCTAGTAACTCAGGGTTACTATACACTTTTTATTTGAAAATTCCATGGCATAGTACCTAGATATTTGTTTTAACTAAAAGTAATTAAATTAGGTACCTACAGTTAATTCTTCTGCAATTATAAAAATAAAACCACTTATATTAATACTTTATTACCCAATGCTTAAGTGACATGTATTTGTATTTTATTTCTTAATACATCCATGTTAAGATGAAACCTATTGGCGGTTACAAAAATAAAAAAGGATATTGTTAGTTTGTTAATATATTTCTTTAATGTCTTTAATGTCTATCTGATTCCGTGTTCGAAATCAGGATAGACACGTTTTAAAATAAATAGAAATATGTACATTTTTTGTAATGGATCAATTGAAATTTCAATAACATTTGTTGTTCAATATTATAATTAAAAATAAATATTATAATTCCTAAATTTTGTTATAAAGTAAAATTGAAGCCTGAAGGGATACTTAAAATCTAAAACTTATATTTGTATGTGTTATATTGAAGTATAACAAACGTAACAAAGTACTACGACAAAATTATTTTGCACGAATGTACTATTTACATTAAAATATTTTTTAATCATAATAATATGAATTACCATAATGCCAATATAATATTATATTATATACATTTACATTTTTATATTTGAAGTGTTAAGCAAACAATCTTATTAGGCATTAAATTATATTATTAGAAATATCATCACAAAGTAGGTAAATAACATTATGTACAAAGTCCTATGATAGATACCATAGTTCACATCAATATAATATTTACACTAAAATAATATTTAGTTATAAAATTGTTTTCAATAAAAATA